TGTCGCTGGTGAAGATTTTCTCCCATTCTGTGGGTTTTCTCTTCATTTTTTTGATTCTTTCTTTTGGTGTACAGAAGATTTTTAGTTTAATAAAGCCGTACTTATTGATTTCTGACCTTAATTCCTGAGCACCTTCTGTCTGATTTAGAAAATCCTTTCCTACACCTATATCTTGTAAATTCCTGCCAATATTTTCTTCTAATAGTTTCAAGGTTTCCAGTTTCACATTGAGGTCTTTGTTCCATTTGGAGTTGACATTTGTGCAAGGTGAAAGATAAAGATCTAGTTTCATTCTTCTACAAGTGGAGATCCAGTTTTGCCAGCACCATTTGTTGAAGATGCTGTTTTTCCTCCATTGTGTGTTCTTGGCACCTTTGTCAAATATCAGGTGGCTGAAATTGGGTGTACTCAGGTTTGGATCTTCAATGACATTCCATTGATCTATGTGTCTGTTTTTTGCACCAGTACCATGCTTTTTTTATGACTATGTCTCTGTAGTATACTTTGAGATCTGGTATAGTAATCCTCCCAGCGTTGCTCTTTGTGCTCAGGGTTCCTTTGGCTATCTGGGGTCTTTTGTGCCTCCTTATGAATTTAAGGATGGATTTTTGTAATTCTGTGAAGTATGTCTTGGGGATTTTTATTGGGATTGCATTGAATCTATATATTGCTTTTGGTAGGATGGGCATTTTAACAATATTATTTCTTCCAATCCATGAATATGGGAGGTCTGCCACTTGGGCATATGGATGTTCTGTGTTGGTTATGTGTACAGTAGGAACTCTCCATCTTTGTATGTATGTATGTATGTATCTATCTATCTATCTATCTATCTATCTATCTATCTACCTATCTTCTATCTACCTATCTTCTATCTATATATCTATATCGATAGTCTCCACTAGACCTGATACACTCATCATTTTTTCATTACGAGCTTCAGTTAATAATGTATGTGCTTTTCCAAAGCCATGTATAGATTATCTGATCTACAGATACAATAAATTCCTTATCTTCATTCCATTGAATAGATAGATAGATAGGTAGGTAGATAGATGAGAGAAAGAGAGAACAATATGATTAAGAAGATGCCATGAAATTCAGAGGTAGTAGGGGGGATGTGGGAGGGGCTGAAAGGGGAGAGAATGGATGAAAATAATGTAAATATAGTACTAATATGAAATTCTCAAAAAACTGAATAATTAAAAATATAAGAATAAGCTGGGCTTGGTGGTGCACACCTTTAATCCCAGCACTTGGGAGGCAGAGGCAAGTGGATCTCTGTGAGGTCAAGGCCAGCCTGGTCTACATAGTGAGTTCCAGGACAGCTGGGGCTACAGGGAGACCCTGTCTCATGAAGACCAATATACATATGAATAGAGGAAACTTTACATTTTCCTTCCTTTTCCTTCTTCTTTCTAATCTCATGTCTCCAGTCCCTGCCTGTTTTAAATTCTTTGCTCTTATCTCTACTGTTCTGACTTATGTCTGCTTTGATCAGCAGTTAGATAAAACAACAGTCCTGTCTATTCTGATGTCTTCTCCAGAATACCTGATACAATCATCAGTTTCTTCTTACCAGCCTCCATTAACAATGTGTGTGTGTGTGTGTGTGTGTGTGTGTGTTTCCAAAGCCATATATAGATGATCTGATCTATAGACACAATCAATTCCTTATCTAATTCCAATGAATATTGTTTCCCAATGGTTTCCTGTCCAAAGTAACTAACAGTGTTTTCACATTTGTAGTATCCTCTACTGATAAAAATGGTGACCACCTTTCTTACCTAACCCACCTCAAAAGCATAAGCCATTATCATTCCCTATCAGAAGTTCCTTCCTAAGGTCCAATTCAGTCTCTTCTCTTTTTTTATCCTGAAAGTCCTGAGGATTTGGGTCTTTGGAATAGTAGTTCTCAAGTTCTCTTCCTACATCTTTGAGGTTTATCCATGACAACAGGGCAGTGATTAATCTAAGCATCAAATAGGAGTAGGATAGGAAGGTGAGGAGGATGACCTTTTTGTCCCACCTTTCATAGAAAACTCCCAGGACCTTGTCACTCATTATTTGCAGTCAAGTTATTGCAGATAAAAGGATCCGTGCACACATCACAATGCTCCATCTGGAAAATTGTCTTGCCTTTCACTCCTTGATCTTCCTCTTGAGATTTTCTGCAGGGGCCATGATGGACCCAGAGCGCTGCTGTGTGTCACATGTCACAGAACATAGCTCCACAAAGAGAATCTGAAATTGTCTGATTTTTTCTCTTAGGCATTTGCTCCACTCTACCTCTTCAATAAAGGAAGGACAAAAGGAAGAAAGAAACAGCCTGGTATTCAACATGTATATCAACCTATAGATCTTATAAAAGTACTATTATTGAAATATCTTTAGTATTTAGGATAGGCTTCAGAATCACCATAGATACAGGGCACATAAAGAAATGCTTCCTTTGATATAATATAAATACCCCTGAGTTCATTCAAAAGGGGAAAACTCTCTGTCTCTATCTCTCTCTGTCTCTGTCTCTGTTTCTGTCTCTCTCTTTAATGCAGGATTTCATGTTTTCCAGGATGGCCCAAAATTTGCTATGTAAAAGATGATTTTAAACTTCCGACCCTCCTTCCTCCACCTCCCAAGTGCTGGAATTGCAGATGTGTACAACCACATGTAGTTTATGCCAGGCAGAAACTCTAACAATTGATCTACTTTCCAACCCTGATATTTTTGGAGTTAATAGATGACATTACAGTTTAGGTTATCCATACCTTGATAAATACTATAAAAGAAAAATAAAAGAGTTGTAGACAGAAGAAACATAAGACTCAAACAGAGATTTGGCTCACTTCAAATTTCATCCATTAATCAAAATTAAATTTTAATTAAAAATAATCTGTCTGGTAAGTTCTATAATACAGTAGTTAGACATGTTATCCTGTCCTGTCTAAAGAACATGCTCTAGAAGATATGAAAGGAGAAGTTTTGCATAAAATTCAATCATATAGTCAAATTGCATAAACAAAACATAAAATAAGAAACAGTGTATTCACAGACTGATCAGATAAAAATTATTTACTAGCTTGGAGACATCTGTAATACATGATTTCTTTTTTATCTAAGTTTCTAATAAATTCTGGACATTCTGAAAATATTACCCTTTTTGTGACAAAGAGTAGATATGGCCAATTTGGATAATTTTGAAGGCCATAATGACAGAGCCAAGAGATGGAATGCAACTGTATTCAGAAGGGCTAGTTGCCATATACGGCTCTAACATTTTATATACTATAGTCTGTGTAAGAATTTCTTCTGGTCAGTTTAAAGCTTGTCCTTTGAGTCATAGTTTCTGGTTCTTTAGGGGGCAATAAAGGCAGAAGCATTCCCCTTTCACACCGTTCAATCACTAGAATCAACTTTGAAAAAAAGTTGTTGTGAGAAAAGAGCATTTCTCCTTCAGACATAACCATCACATCCGTCTTTCCCTTCTTCCTCATCCCAGAAAATGACCAGCCATGCCTGACTCTGGAACTGTACTCTGTATACCAGGAACTTGCATCCAGTATTATCTAAGATTTTATCCAAACAGGACTTTCAATACCACTTTAATACATGAAAATACTTAGCTCTATTCAGCAATGCCTGGAGACACCCATATCAAAATATGGTTATCTGTATTATATTTCTATTTAAAACATTATTGTTGGTGCTACTTGATAAACGTTTATCAGAATTGTAACTGAATAGACTTTCTATGGTCATGTTTTCCCTGGAGTAACCTTATTGAATTGAGGACTGGATCGGGCTTATTTCACTCAAAGAAATGTTCAAGAAACAGCCACCAACTCCATAGTGAGAAACAGTATTAAATGCCTTGATTCTAGGCATAGGAGAGCCAGTGCACGAGGCCACATGGAAAAAAAAAATCAGCTTTGACAAAAACATGTGACCTATGCTGCACTCTCAAAAGTCATGTATGTACGTACATGTCAGGTGTCAAAAGCTCACCAAAGTGTGAGATATCTAAGGAAACAGTTAATATCAAAGTGGGGTTCTTGAGCTAGTGCTTAGTATTGTGTTCATAGTACACCATAGAAAATCAGCAATAGATAGCAGTGAAATAGTAGAGGCATTAGATGATTCGTATTGAGATGTCTTTGCTTGATTGTCCTGCCTACAGCATCTTGTCCAAGGTCCAGAAGTTGTTCCCCAGAGCAGTCAATCATGTTTTAGAACAAGGCAGGGAGAATAAATGAATTATACCACTCTGAATCTGTTTAGTTTTAATGCTATAGATGACAGGATTCATAAAAGGGGGGAAAAGGAAGTAGATGTAGCTCATTGTGATGTGGACCACATGAGGAACATGCTTCCCACACCTGTGAATAAATGTCAGACCAATGACAGTGACATAGAAGACCAGGATACAACAGATATGGGAGATGCATGTGTTGAGGGCCTTGGCCCGTTCATCTGTAGAAGCAATGCCCATCACAGTCTTCAGAATCAAAATGTAGGAGAAAAAGATGATGAGGAAATCTAACAGGACCATTGCAAACACAACCACAACTGGATAGAGACGATTGAAGGTGATGTCAGCACAGGCTAGCTTGATGACACCTTGGTGTAGACAGAATGCATGGGAGAGAACATGGGATCGACAATAGGGAAACCAGTGCAGGCGAATGATAATTGACATGATTGACAGACCAGCCCTTGTCAATACCCCCACTCCAATCTTCCTTACCCGGATGTCAGTAAGGATGGTTGTGTATCTTAGTGGGTTGCGAATGGCAATGAAGCGGTCATAGGCCATGGTGAGCAAAACTCCTGACTCCACAATAGAGAGAGTGTGGATAAAGTAGGCCTGAGAGAAGCAGGCCCCATGGCCGATCTCCCTGTGATTTAGCCACAGAACACCAAGCACTGTGGGCATGGTGGTCAATGTCACACCAAGATCTGTGGCTGCCAACATAGCTAAGAAATAGTACATGGGCTCATGGAGGGTATGGTCATCCTTAATGAGGAACAGAAGAGTGCCATTGCCAAGCAGGATGGCCATGTAGGCCACTAATAGTGGGATGGAGATCCAGTGATGTGCCCTATCCAGGCTTGGAAACCCACTAAGCAGGAATACAGCAGTGGAGCTGTTGAGACACACATTGTTAGCATTGCAAAGGGGAAAATATCCCCATCGGGCAAGGTGATAGAATCTAGTTCTTCAGCAGTTGATCTTTGAGGATACTACCTGCTCTGTGTTCCTGATTTTAACCAACAGCAGGGGTTATAAACTAGTCCTTCATTGGAGATTCCTAGGTAAGAGAAAATAGAATATGTGAAGAGTAACTGTATATTATTCAGAGCTTACCATGTGCAAGATTATGGTCTACATGGAGATCAGGCTATTGGTGAAGAGGAGATCTTGTTGAAGTCTTTGGAAATACTATAATCCAAACAAAATGAGGGAAGAAATCACCGTAGTTCCATAGTGCTCTGATAGTGTTGGTACTCACAGGGCATTTTTCATGAAACTCCTTCTCTTGACTGTTAGCACGGAGACTAGACCTAACAGTCTCCTAGAATAAATTAAGCCTCGAAGAGCAAAAACATTCTAAACCTCGTTTGGCAATCAGTTATGGATATCTAATTGCAAAATAATATAAAGAAGATGGTTAGTGTATACACAAAAATAAAGCTGACAGTTAATTTTAGGTTAATATTAATATGTCAATAAGGAATATGTAGTTCATTTTGGAGCAGCTACAAAGTTACAGAAGACTTAATTATAGGTATGTGTGTTCAAAATAAGTAAACCTCAAAATTTTGAGCATGGTAATACTCTAGCTTCTGACATACTTAAAATCACCTCAGAATTTCATATACAGAAAATATAAATTAAGATACAAAAATAAGCCAAATAAAGGAAACTACAGTACTATTTGGTAACACACCAGACAAAAGACTGTTGCTTAAGCATCACCTATTTCAGGAAGCAAAATAGTAATTGATTATTTAGGCACGCTAATATGAATTATGTTTTAAAAGCTATGGAGTCTGATAGAATTTAATAAGACTGCAAAGCCTTTGTGACTCTGCATTCAAAGGTATCATCAGAGTTTGTCACACCTAGGAATTGAGTATCTGGCTTCAACCAGAGATGTGTCCACCTTCTTTTATGATTGGTGTGGACTATACACCTCACATGCTGTGTGTATTACTCATCTGACCTATTTCTTTTTCCCAGAAAAAAATGACTCTAAGATCACTGTGTTTTACTCTTCAGAAGAACTTGGGAGCTCCACCTAAGATTTGATGTCAATGTTTATAAAGAGGTCTGTCTAATGATTTCTGTCTTCCTCATGTTTTTGACAGTAGGCATAAGGATAGAACAGAGATCTGTCAAATGATCCATTTTTCTTATGAAACCTATGGGAGAAAATGTAAGACAATGAGGGTCAGTTTGACTTTAAGCAAGTGTATTACACTGACATTGAATTGAGCAGCAGATGATGTGCCTGGCAAGAAAAAGAAAAGTTGAAATTGAGGTTTTATGAGTGGGATCTTCTGACACTGCTGAAGATGACATTGACCTGTAGCATTCAGACTGGGAGAAGTTGGGGAAAAGCAAACTTTCCACAGGTAAGAAATGGAGAAATAGCTAACTCCTTCCTGTCAAGGAAAAACTCAGGAATATTTTGCTTATGATACACAGCATAGGTGCATTTTCATACATGTAGGCACTCATATACATAAAATAAATTAAAAGAAAAGAGAAACAGAAACGAATTTCTCATCTTACAAAGGTACTGCCTTGTTTTGTAGTGATGATGCTTAAATTCTCTTGCAGCCTTCCAATGCACCATAATAAGGGACTTACAAAAGCACTTGGTAATTATTTCCTGTTATGACAAGTTAAGCATACAATAGCTGAATAAACGAGAAAGGAAAAAGAGAAAAGAAGCTACAGAGGCAGGACTGAGGAGGGAAGAGATTGTCCAGAAACACATGCAGGGGATGAGGAGCTCAAGTTTTCCTCTCATTCGATGAGCTGCAGTATTGCATACAGTCACACTATTTTGTAGAACCCAATAATCTATGCCTGCTAGCTAATAAGCTCATACTACATATCAATACATGTGACATAGTAATCAAACATCAGAGTCTTTTTACCCACTGTGGATGATGCGGGCTGTACACGTAAGGCAGAGTCGTTACCGGTACGGTCCAGCTTGCTACCTTTCTTCTGCTTGTGTACTTACACACTGAGTAATTCTGCCCAATACCCAGAACCGCTTTCAGCAACACATGAGCTTAACTATGCGGAATGGAGATAGTTAAAAGTCCAAACTCATCCCTGTAGCCACTCAGCCTTTTCCAGGGTCACTGATTCAAAGCTGACTTGTTTTGTTGATGAGAAGCTAATACCTAAAGTTTCAAACTCTGCCACATAAACAGAGGCGACTATACAGATCCCTCGAGATCTCACTCAGACTCTGGCACCTTTGTTTGGGCTCCTTTACCTCCTTTCTGACACTCTCTTCTCTATCACAAGCACTTCAGTTTCTCAGTTTTATATCTCCTGCTTGTGTTCCTTATCCTTTTTTGAACAGTTTAAATTTGTTCTTCATGCTCTGTTTTCTTTTAATCTCTCCGCTGCCCATATTTCCTTCTAAGTATCTGATAAATGGTACAGTGCCCAACATGTATCTTGTGTTCTTTTTCAGAATCAGTAACTGATTAGCTTTCCTACACATGCAAACTGTTCCCTTACCATTCTTGTTTCAAGCAGCTTATCAAATCAATGACCCACCCTATCTGGTAGCTGATTCACTCTGAATGGGGAGCTGTGTATCCCTGGAACCTGGAAAGGTGCAGAGCATCATTATAAAGGACATGGAAAGAAAAAGTGTACTGTGGTTTCAATTGAGGAGGCATTGAATGCCTATATGTTACTCTGAATTTTTCCAGGTGCTGAAGGCACACAGGTATGTGAATAACTGATCTGATTGCAAAATAACGCAGCTCCATCCAAGTTTAATTTTCTGATATGGCTTATTTGTCCTATGAGCTTATAGTTACCTTTTTGTTACTTTGTTTTGTTTTATTCTGTGTTGTTGAGACCCAGTCACACTATTGCTATGTAACTGCATCTGGTCTTCATTTCTTGATCTTTCTCCCTGGACCTCCCAAGTGTGTGCTGGGATTTCAGTACACACTATCATTTCTGACTTCTGCTAGTGACTTCTCTAGAAACTTTTTGAACTTCTATTGATTTCTGAGGAAATATATCTGCTCAAGAAAAAATTCTGTCCTTTAAATTTACCTGGAATTCTTAAGAGGTAATTTTCATGAAGGAAATTGCAGGGTTGGAATGGAGGTCATAAAAATTAAAAGTTTAGAGAGCAGGACAAAAAAGGAGAAACAGGCAATACATTCATCAACCCCTGTTTTCTAGAACTGACACTTCTTCTTATGCATCCAAAGAGGCAATCCTTAAGGAATCCAGGCTGAAAAGGTGCTGCTGGGACTTTCACTCATCTGTTCTTGGCATATAATACTATTTCTTTTCTCCTGCTGAAATACCAGCGCCCTGTTCCCCATCTTGCTTTGTCCTGGTCTCTGCAGTAAGACTTCAGAGAGAAAATTCCTTACATACGCTGACTGATTCAAGATACTGTTCTTATATATTCTGTGGTGACACTGTCATGAGCTTCAGATCCTGAGCTTTGTGAAGGATTTGGTCACAACATCATTTTCTCAGAGACTGCACAAAAGCATGCCTAGTGGGAACATTTATTCAGAAGCATCCCCTGAGGGACCATTTGTTATCTGGGTCACTTATTGCCCCTCCTTCACGGTCTTCCTTGTCTTACTCATCTGTCCCTACCTGCTGTGTTTTTCTTTCTTGTATGTATTCTGAGCCTTGGGGACACGGGGTTTTCACTAGCAGTTTCCAAGATCTCTGTCTGTGTTCCAGCTTTGGCTTGAGTACTGTTCTTAGGTGGGTGATTTATCTCTATTAAGCTATAGAAAGAAAAAAGGACCAGTTAGGAATCTGGACTGCAACAGGTTTGGGGAGAGTTCATTCCCCAACTGTCTAAGAGAAACTTCAGTCTGTCTGTCTGAAATGAGAAATGTATGGAAAATAGAGAACAGGAATTGGTTTTATTGAAGAGTTCCTTTGTAATAATACCTTATGCAAAAATTTGTATTATTTTTTTAAGTGTATGAGTGTATTGCCTGCACGTGTGTACGTGCACCTGTGTCGTGCAATGCCCATGGGGTCAGAAGGTGGCATTGGATTTCCATGGAATCGTAGCTATGAACAAGTCGGTTGTTAGCTACCATTTGGGTACTGGGAATAGAATCTGGGTCTTCTGCAAGAACAGCCAGCGCTCTTAACTGCTGAGCCATCTCTGCAGCCCCGTTTGTATTGTTGTTAAGAAACCAAAACTTCTACATTCACAGATGGCCAAGCCATCTAACACATTCCTGTTACAGGTTGGTTGCTATATAAAAGATGCTAATGAGACAGTTGGAGACAGAATGTGTTTATTAAAGAAAATGTTTGTATTAATATAACTGAAACATATATTGTCAAAGTCTTGCCTAATCTATTGGGAGGCTCTGGAGCAAGTATTACCCAATGAAGCACATTAAAACCCACTGGGTTGAAATTGCAAGGCCTTTAAAACACCTCTTCACTTAGTTACCAGATGGTATCGTCTAGCCCCAGAGGTTAAAACATTAAGCACAGTGACACCGTACACCTGAGGGAGATCCTGTATGACCTGAGAGTTAGAGGCTGGATTCTGAGCACATTCCCAGGGTGGGAAAGGAAGTCTTTCCTTGATGAGAAATCTGGCCAGTACATTCTGATAACTGCAACATCTTGTTGGTATCATATTTAGGTGAATGTCATGGTACATGCCAGAATTTCAGTGCTTCCAGTCTGTAGCAGGAGACTCATGTTTTTAGGATCAGCCTGCAATATATAGTGAATTATTGTCCAGTCTGGGCTGAACTACGTACAGAGACCGTATCTCAAAACAACAACAACAAATCCTGTTGATATTGTGATTTTGGGAGCCATTGTTAAAGACCATTGTTATTCAAATGCCCAATCTAAGATTTCTCTTTCATAGACCCAGAAATGGTTAGAACATATTCAATAATATATGCAGTTTCACTGGTTTGCTATAACACAAGTCATTGCTAGGTTTCACAGGAACATTTACTTACAGAGCTTTAT